CGAGTTGAAACACCCGGACAGACGAACACACACACACACACACACACACACACACACTGACAGGGTTGTTGCAATATGCGTTTCTGCTGCCTGTTGCAGCGCTCTGGCGCTGCACGGCAAAAGCGCATAAAAGTACCCTTGATTAATTGAAGCCGGAAGCCAGGGTGTGCTAAAAGGAGCTGCTGGCGTGTGGTTGTTCTTTGAATAAAAGTCTATTTTTTCAGTGGCGTGTAGGTGATCGTTGTTTGGCACCATACTACGACGATCAGCTGTGGTATCCAGCTGTTATCAAAAGACTTGATTTTGCTTCCGGCAAATGTGAAGTGCTGTACGATGTTTACAATGAATTGGCTTCCGTTAATATATCAGATCTTACAAAGTATATCAATTTTTATTCTTGAATGTTTATTTTTTGATAATAAGGTTTGGCGATTGAATATTAGAAGCTGAGTGCTGGGCGAAGAAGGGGTGGGGGAGAGGGATGAAAAAAAGATGATAAGGCGCGGAATAAAGGAGACAGATGAGTCTGAGCGTGGAATATTGAATATGTTGACAGATGAGCTGGGGATGTGGAACATTCCATAATTTTTTGCTCAGTTATTTTTGTTTGGTTGGATAATTTTATTTTGCATGGATAGACAAAATAGCAATTTCCAAAAAGCATAACCCTCTCCATTTTTCATTCTGTACAAGGCAGAGACATTTGGAAATAGCTTGAGTTGTTTTGCATGTCTAGTGCATCCAGGTGTCGGTAAGGGTTTCTCTGTTACCAGAGTGATTGCGGCTAAACTGTTGCTGCTGTCGGGTCTGTGACATATGTCACTATCACAGTTAATCTACAAATACTAAAAGAGTTTTCATTATCTCACTGATAGGTTAGTCCTTACCATTTTAAGCGCAGCGCTTCTTGCCGTCACACGAAGCTCACAACGAAGCGAATGTACTTAGTATTAGCAGCAGGCCTTTGACAAATAATTCATAAAAAACTTTAGCCAGAGGCTGTTCTTTAATCTTGGTGGAAACTGTAAATCTCCAGTGAAATGAAATGAAGCATGCTAGGATCTAATTAAGTGAAATTGTTGATGAGGGAGTGACCAAAAATTGTATGCGTGTACGAGATATTGAATGGGAGGGTTGAGAAATGGGCTGTGCAGCTAAATTATGGAGATTGAGGAGAATGGAGGTGATGATTAATCCGTAATTGTAGTGACTAGTAGTGACCAATGATAAAAATTAAAAGTATACAAAAGGGAAGTGAGGGGAGGGGGAGGGGAAGAGAAAAGATAGTTGTATAGATGTATATTTTGTGAGGAAGGTATGGACTTGTACTGAGTATGCGAAAAGTAATATGTGGGTTTCGCTGTC